GATAGAGAGAGTACGAATTGTGCAGCAATATCAAGTTAAACTAGACCTATTATTACAGACATTTCACGAACATTTATCACAAAATTAGGATTAACGATTCCAAGTCTTTTACTTTTCCTAACTTCATCTAGAAATCTAATTTAAGCATCTGAATCCGTTTTGATAAGGTTTTCCAAAAAAAAGTCGTTTGGGTCTTAACTTGATCTGATTAGATTTTGGGAGTGATTGAAAAACATTAAGGGAAGGGTAATTTAACGAGCGTCGAAATCCGTAAAAATAATATAGAAAAAAAGAGATTTCAATAAAAAAAAATCCACATTTAAAGCGATTTTAAATTAATTCACTGAAAAAAGTAAATCCATGCTAGGGTCCAGATCATGTAATTGGAAAATAAAATATACCTAATACCTACAAATTATAAATACAAAAAATATAAATTTGCCAGTAATATGGCCCGGCCGCGTTTTAAAGTTGAGAGGGCCGTAAAAACTGGCAACGCTAATATTGTTCGTTTCCTGCTCGCCCTATTGCTAACTCTCTGTAGTTTTCGAGAAAATCGTTCGATAGCCTACACTGTATAGTTGGAGGTAAAGATATTCTTTCTTTTTCGGCAAAACAAAGGATATCGTATAAAAACACGTTTAACGGCGACCCAGGAACGGACTATTAACTGTATGTTACGCTTTAAAGAGGAAATGTTATATGTATTTAAATATTATCACATTATTCTCATAATTTCCTTCTTCGATTATATTATTTAATAAATATCACTAAATTTAGTTTTAAAGGCAACACTCACGAAATTGATCCGAAATAAATATTCAGGACTTGTAATAAAAATCACCATGAAACTATAATATTTCATTTACTTGAAGTATTTAATTATTACATTGAATATTAAAAATCAATGAAGGATGTTACGAAAAATGCTGGAATAACTGTTATTAGTATCCTCTTATTATAAAAAATTTAAATTACTGAGGAATATATTAGTATGGTTTTAATTTTTAAAGTGATTGAAGTATCCAAGCCTTCTCAACACGTCAAGGTTAGATTTCTAGAAAAAGAAAATAGGAACACAACCATGTTCCTTGCCAAAATAACGTGAACCAACAGATACATGGTTATATCAAAACTATCATCTTCACTGGACATGTCATTCAGGTTTATAATGCAAGAATGAGCCGGAAATATCCATTTTTGCTTCTTTTGATGCTTAAAGCGTGCTTTTAACTCAGCTTTTAATAAATGATATACCTATGTCGTTTAGCATTTTGACGACACTGTGCCATTGCTGTTTGGATTGATGTGAATAAACAAATAAATTTATTTTTGGTTGATCAATTTTCTTCTAATTTTAACAAAAGTTAAACCTGCATGGTTTCATTTCGCCCTTTGTAAATAAAATTAGTCTAGTAGTTGTTTATCGTTGATTTAAAAAATAAAAAAAATATATATAATTCAACATTACTCTTATTTGATAAATTATAAATTCATAGCCCTCGTATTTGTGAGGACATGAATTATTTTCATTAATTTTATACTAATCTGAATATTTTACTATTTTATTTTAAAGTTTGATAGATAAATTATTATTTTTGTTTGTCTTTCGCCTTGGTACCAACGCTAATGTCTTAAAAGGTTGAATATTCACATGGTTTAGTGAAAAGCGTATGGTAATTTCTATCTTGTTACTCTGTTTAATTTATTTAAGATACTGTAACGATTGTTTAATATCTGCATCTGTAACGTGTGTCTTCTTGTTCGCACCCTCTGTAGAATGCGGATTCTGACAGCCCCATGATATAGATATGATTCCGTACTTGTCAGTGACCAGTTAAAATGCCTGTGACTAGGCGCAGATTCTGTCTATTCATAGTCATGTATTTGTTTGCTGCAGTGTTGTCAGGATAACTTAAAAGCCCCCTGGCAACTCTGCAGTTTCTTGTTTCATTCCATCTTTCCTTGAATTTCACAAGGGAATGTTCTTTAATTAGGTCTGTCACTACCGATTTTGTCAGGCCAATAGAAGGGACAGGTCCAAAAAGTATTTGGTTGCTGCTTTCTTGGCAAGTGAATCAGCAAGACAGTTACCTTTCGATGTGGCGTTACCTTTGATCCATCTTAAGGAGACCACGTTGTTGATAGATACTTCGGCCAAAACTTGCTTCTTTTGATGCTTAAAGCGTGCTTTTAACTCAGCTTTTAATAAATGATATATGTCGTTTAGCATTTTGACGACACTGTGCCATTGCTGTTTGGTTTGATGTGAATAAACAAATAAATTTATTTTTGGTTGATCAATTTTCTTCTAATTTTAACAAAAGTTAAACCTGTATGATTTCAATTCGCCCTTTGTAAATAAAATTAGTCTAGTAGTTGTTTATCGTTGATTTAAAAAATAAAAAAAATATACAATTCAACATACCTACTCTTATTTGATAAATTATATATTCATAGCCCTCGTATTTGTGAGGACATGAATTATTTTCATTAATTTTATACTAATCTGAATATTTTACTATTTTATTTTAAAGTTTGATAGATAAATTGTTATTTTTGTTTGTCTTTCGCCTTGGTACCAACGCTAATGTCTTAAAAGGTTGAATATTCACATGGTTTAGTGAAAAGCGTATGGTAATTTCTATCTTGTTACTCTGTTTAATTTATTTAAGATACTGTAACGATTGTTTAATATCTGTATCTGTAACGTGTGTCTTCTTGTTCGCATCCTCTGTAGAATGCGGATTCTGACAGCCCCATGATATAGAGATGATTCCGTACTTGTCAGTGACCAGTTAAAATGCCTGTGACTAGGCGCAGATTCTGTCTATTCATAGTCATGTATTTGTTTGCTGCAGTGTTGTCAGGATAACTTAAAAGCCCCCTGGCAACTCTGCAGTTTCTTGTTTCATTCCATCTTTCCTTGAATTTCACAAGGGAATGTTCTTTAATTAGGTCTGTCACTACCGATTTTGTCAGGCCAATAGAAGGGACAGGTCCAAAAAGTATTTGGTTGCTGCTTTCTTGGCAAGTGAATCAGCAAGACAGTTACCTTTCGATGTGGCGTTACCTTTGATCCATCTTAAGGAGACCACGTTGTTGATAGATACTTCGGCCAAAACTTCGTGACATTCTAGTTCTAACCCTGAATAAATTCGTGGTCTGTTCAGGGTGAGTAGTGCTTGTCTGTATAGATGAGCATGTTCCTTCCTGTGATATTGTTTCTGGTGATTTCTTTTGCTGCTATGAGAATCCCGTGAGCTCTGTTTAAAGTACACTGGCATTATTGCTCACAGCCCATTTTATATTAAGGTTTAAGGATCTGGAGTATATTCCACATCCTGAGCCTTGTTTTGTTTTAGAACTGTAGGTGTAGATATGAATCATACCTGCCACTTCCGGCTCTTCTATTGGTTACAACTTTATATGGCTTATGGAAGATATATCTCGGTGAAATGAAGTCCATGTTCTCTTGAAGCAGTGGCAGCGTATCGAGCACCTTCTGCCAAAAGCCACGTCTCGCCAGATACTACATCAGGTTCTATTCCAACTGTGCGGAGGCGTGTCATTGTCGTCAGAGCAACCTCCTTGATGTAAATATCAAGGGGAGTGAGACTAAGAATGACTTCCATGGCCCTGGACGGTGTTGTTTTCATGGCTTCTGTTATGTTGATATATACTGTTCTTTGAATTTGTTTTAGTTTACGGATAGCTGTCAATTTTTGGGTTTTCGGTACCCAGACAACTGCATCGTATGTTAGCATAGGTCTTATGATAGCAGTGCAAGTCCATGCGACGACTCTGGGGGAGAAACCCCAGGTGCGCCCCACGGTTCGGCGGCATTGTTCATAAGCAATGTATGCTCTTTTTCTAAATGCGAGTTCCATGTTAACTTGCTGTCAAAGATGAGACCTAAGTACTTCACCTCTGTTGCAAAGTTTAGTTTTGTATTTAGAAGTTCTGGAGGTTTTAATTCCATTTTTATCCTTTTCCTTGTGAAAAGGACCATTTCAGTCTTCTTAGGATTGATAAGACAGTGAATGGTCCTTACACCACTGTTCTAAAATTTTGAGAGCTACTTGCATTCTTTCATTTGCATATGCTATTGTGTAGTGACTGTCATTATTGAGGCGGCTGATGAGGGTGGTGAGAACTGTGTTCTAAAGTAGAGGTGATAGCACCCCTCCCTATGGACATCTCCTCGCAACCTTATATTCACATCTTCTACACTTATATGTACTGCTCGCTTTGAGAGCATGTTATGTATCCACCCACTAACCATCTGTGAAACATTCCTGTTGGTTAGTAAATGTATTATCTTGGGGAATGTGGTTTTATCAAAAGATTGTTTGATATAAAAATAGTTTATTTATTTACACGGCTAATTAATTAATTTATTTTATAAAGAAATCACTTAATGCGTAATTGTTTAATATTTCAATTTGTGTTATAGACACGCAAAAAAGTTTAAAATAAAAGTTATATGGATTTAAAAAATATTTTTGGATATACAGGATATTGCGTTTTTGTTTGGCAAATAAGAATGTATATTGTTTAAACACCCTGTATTTTATTTGAGTTTTAGAATGCTTTATTAATACTGTATTCAACCCCTACCTTTTTTTTTAAATACTACAGGGTTACCAAGTAATTAATTTTTTTATGAAATAATAAAATGATGCAAACCCAAAATTAAATTATCATAATTTAGGTAGGTTTACAATGATTTAAAAATGATTCAGATTACAAACTTATAAGATAGTAAGCTAACGAATAGTGGTGATATATTTTATATAGAGTGTCTTGAAACATGTCTTAGGTATGGTTAATTTTAAGTTCAATTTGCTCAATTTTCTCAAATGCAACACCCTGTATATTATTTTAGCTTGTTAGGTATATTTTCCAAAATTTACAAGATAATTCACCACTCATTTTCTTCTATCGACTAGGCGTGCCTGAAGAAGAAATTTTTATAGTTTTCTTCTTTTTTTTTTCAGCACGCATCATCATGTAATCGACACTGTAGTAGGACATACGCTTCATACGATAGAACACATGAATAAAACTGAGAGCAACGAAACTGAAGACGAGTGTACTCCCCCAGCAATAAAACAGGTCAGATTTATGTACTTTTTAGCATGTGCATGTGTTACTAATAATAAATAAGGTTGAATAATAATTATAGTAATGGCATGCCATGAAAAAACGACACCACTTCTTCCACTCTTAGAAGCCATATCATAGTTGTCAAATTTAAATGATTTGGCGGTGTGTTCAAATCACTATTTTTTTTTATTGTTCTTCGGAAAAAGCTAAAATTAGATGTACAAGCTACAAAAATAAAAACTAGAAAAAATCGTTTAGATTAATTAAATTTAGTCAAATATATCTCTTCAATATTGTTGTTCTGACGTTTTTTCTCTTATATCTCAATCAATATATAAGTGTTCTTTAAATATAAATTAAAGTTGTTTGGCCTATATAATATTTATAACGATGACTGGATTTAAAGAGATCATAATCAATGATTTAGCTACTATTTCTAGTAGATATCCAAAAGCGATTATTGGTGTTATTTTATAATTCGTCAGAATCAAAATTCACATTATGTACTATTAAATTGTAACACTATATTAATTAAATGTAAATCATATCATAAATCAATTAGATATTAGTGCATGTCTCAATAATATATTTTCATCAAATACTTTTTATGATTTTCTTTTCGCGAAACTATTTTCGATTTTTCTTTCTGCAAAAATAAAACAGCAGTGTCTACAAACCTCTTCAAGACATAGATTTAATCCAGACGCTTTGAGTGTTCACGTAAGTATCCTTAAACAAATTTCAAACGAGCCCATTACCATGCCAACAGTCATATTACCACTGAAATATACTTCAATTTCACATTTTATGAGATCATCAAAGGCCGCCAAACATGGGATAATAACAATAAAACTCAAGCAAAAGATCCTACCATTTTTCAAACTGTATACACGTAGGTGACTTAGTAGATATCTGCACAATTGTACAAAATCCGATTATTTTTTTTTTAATTCTTTATTAACATTTTTATTTATAAACCATTTTGTAATAACTCAATAATAAGGTAGATTCAGATTTTTAATGTGACTAACTCCGATTCTGTACAAAAGTAGGTATATAGACAGCTAACAATTTTAAATTTAAAATTATTAGGCTATATCCCAGCAAGTACATAACGTTGCCAAGCCTTTTCGCGTTATTGTTTTAAGGGAACGTAATAACTTTACTATACAACGTAAATGCAACGTTCATGAGAGGTTGTTGATGGAAATAAAAACCTCGAAAAACTTCTATTGGACTTATTTAACCTACCTGTTATGTTAACACAACGTATTGTAACGATAGTTTAATTTATTTAGAGTTTATTTATTTAAAACACACTATTTACAATTTATTTATGACGTACTAATTAATTTATATAATACTTAGGCACTAACTCACAATTCTAATTTATTTATTGCAATTTAACTTTTCTGTCCAACACTTTATTCGAAACTGCCCGTCCGCCGATAAGTCGCGCTATTTATACCAAGTCCAACTCTGCTACGAAAAGTCTCTAGACGATGTGGAATGTCCTAGAATTCCATCTTTATGACTCAACGTGACGTGCCGCTTGTTCTAGTATATTCGAGATGCGTCCGATTGTCTCTATATTACCAGTGCGCCGCTACACTCCATACCGCGGGAGTAAACAAAGAACAGGGTAGGCTTTCGCGCGACAGATTAATGTAATATGCTGTAAAGTGTATCCACGAGAAGTACTGTAAACATCACATTGTGAATTCGGAACGTAGCTATTAGTTTATGTTTATACAATAACAAAAATTGTCACTTTTTCTTGTCGTGTTTCCTAACTTTATAAATTATTTATGAGTTTGAATAGATTTGGTAAGTTTTCTCTATAAAATGGAAAAAATATTTTCTTAAAATTATTATCTGTTCTTTCAGATTGCAATTTAATATTTCATTCATTAGGTACTGAATACAAAATGATTTAGGTAGTTCATTTCAACTACAATAAAAAAGAATGGCGAATAAATCGTTGTAAACAAGAAGATACATTTAACCCAATGCCCAATGACTGTCTACATTTTACACCAAATACTTTATAAAAGAGATTTACAAAACTCATTGAGATTTTACTATAACCTCAATTTTAGCCTCTCACTATTATGTTACAGAAAGTATAGTTAAATAGTTCATCCTGTATAATGCTGTAGAACTAATTCACATTATAACATCTATAAAACGTTTCAGAACATCTTTCGGGGGAAAGTACTGTAAAACTGCTAGTGTGATGTTTTCCAAACTTCACTTTGTAACCTCTGTGAGATGTGCTATAAAAGTCTTGCAGTTGCGGATATTCGGTAGTTAGGTACATGGATGTTACGATTACATTAAAAATAGATTGCGTGCGAGCTTCAAAAGCCTGGAATTACAGCTCATTAACCTGGATGGGATGTTTATGTGTTAACTGGGAATGATGCCACCATTCTTTAACTGATAGATATGATGAACATAGCGTACGAATACGAAGTTTGGCCGGGGTAAGCGGAGGGCCCAATCAGCTGGGCGCGATGCGGACAGTATATTTTTTCTACGCCCCACTAAAGTATGACTAATTAGAGTTAGAAACAGTTTTTACACAAAAAAATAAAGGATAATAAAAGTCCTGAAATTTTGGAATAATGGTCTCCATTTGTAAATTTCATCGATGACTCTCATTTTCAAGCAAATAAGTTTTATTTATTTTGACGTAATAAGGTAAAGTTGGAAAATAAAAGGTAGCTAGTCATTACAAATATTATTATATTCTCTTTTGCAAATACCATGTAAAATTGTAATTTTTATTAAAAACTGGTGTTTCACGAAAATATTTTATTTATTAATGGGCTTTTTATAGGTCTATAATCTGAAATATGAGTCCTAAAATCAAAGAGTCCAACTACAGAACCTGTCAAGAAATATAAAAGGGACATATAAAAGTAATAAAAATAAAGGACATCGAGCATAAAAATGACAGAATTGTTTTTTGCAAAGGATCGGTTTCAAGTTCTGTCTACTAATATACATACGGGTTGAAGAATGAAAGACTTTCTTGATTGAAAATGAAAGAGGAAATGTCAAAATAAAACCATACAGTGCATTGTTACACACAAACAAATAAGCAAAAAACTCTTCTGTATCGGGACGGTGGTGTAGCGGTCTATCGCGCTTATATTCATTTATAGGCAAGTTTATGAGTCTGAGACTGCTGGGTTTCGAATCCCAGACCAGACCATGTGGATTTTTAATTAAATTGCATGGTTCGGTTTAGGATTTGATGTGTGGCGTATTAATAGAAATTCAATTTCTGTTGATATGACATGCAGATTAAAAAAATTCGCCATACATTACCGTCTCGATGATGGTAGGTGCAGTTTTCCGGGTTTTCCTCACCTGTAAGTCAAATGGCACCATCAATCATCTTTAAGTAGCCCCGGAGCACCACGGCAAATAATAATAATAGCCGTCCCTTCCCCTACACAAGTCGTTCAGTCGACTTCAGGGGTTGAAATTCACTCGTAAGGGGGTGAATTAGGGAGAGTATTATTATTATTATTATTATTATTAAGTCGGGGATCATTACTAAATAATTACAGCATTAGTGTAAACTCTTAAATCAACAAGCAAGCAAGAGGATGCCGGGCAAGGCGATCCTGTCTTGATAAATGATATAGGCAACCAATGACTCATAAATGTAATTTAGGATAATTTAGAAAATAAATATCCCACAGCTGTGCCACTTTGTATTAGGTCGGAAGGATGGAGTAGCGTTCCACTGGTGGGCAGTTCAGTGCAAAGCGTCTCAAAAACGATTTTGGTCGATGCACTATTCTATAAAATGGTAAAAGCACTAATCTTATATGTGCTAAGAACGTCTGGAATGTTCAAGAAACGTCCCTTTTGTATATAAATAAGACTATTTTGCCATTTAAGTCAGTTTAGGTAAATATAATCGTATTGTTAAGATAAAAAAGTATTTTTAGTGAAAATAAATTAAATAAACTCAAGTTTTTTTACTTCAATTACATCATTACTGTACGGTGATTCACCTTGTATTTTATTTATCTTTTTTTTTTTTTTTTTAAAAAACTGGTCAAATAAAAAATAATCTGTTTCTCAAACTAATTAGCTTGATTAAAATTGAATGTATGCGTTATTTAATGGACGTTGAATTCCCAGTAGAAAAATATTTTATAGAGAGTACCGAGTATTATCGCACCGTGAAAAAGGATAAAAAGCAGATTCTCCAAAAGGCCAAATCAACATAATAAGATTAATATCTAGCATGGCTGCAATATTTGCCCCGTAATTGGATTTCGCCGAAACTCGGCGAACACAAATTGGGAAAAAATCAAACCGATGAAAAGGTACATCGGCTGATCCGGATATTTCGTTATTAAATTTTTTAAATTCAGAAAGCAACATTTTCACCTACTCGTATATACGAGGAGATTGTTGGAGACCTTTTTAAAACCATCTTTAAAAGGTCGCTTTTAACGACGCTAGCTGGAGTGACTGAACAGGCAAATGTTTAGACACTGAAATTATTTGTCATTAAATTACGCTTTAAAGATTTAAGTAAAATAAATATTAAAGTTAAATATGAAAATTTAGAAATATATTTCTAAACAAAGAAACAAAAATTAAAAAAAAAATTAGCGTCTAAGCGGAATTTGAACCTGCATTATCTATCATATCATGTTAGGTTTTTAACCTCTCGACAATTTTTAAACTACATAACTTAGCGGACATGTGACACCTAATTTTAACGGATAGAGTATTAGACTACTAATAAAATCCGTAACCTACATAGAACACGAGGCTACTTACCTAAGTTGTCGAAGCCAAAGACACCAGATTTTTTATATGGGCCTAGATAATAGTTTTTATTAGCCTATTCGTTTAAAGTTCAGCGTGATATACAAAAGTATAATATTGTGAAACAGATGAAGTTATTGTATTCTAGAACATGAAGAGTTTGTAGGTAAAAAAATACATCATATGTGAGGGGGACCTTGTAAGTG